CTAAAATAGATAATAAGAAGGATTTCATCACAGCTACTTTAAAGGAAAATATTGATCAACTGAATATCAATAGAAAAGGGGCTATTTTCATAAAAAACTGAGGTTTCTCTTGTATCTAGAGGATCTTTCCATAACACAAAGGGTTAAATACTTGCTGAATCAATGAAATAGTACATTATTTTATCAAAACTATAAGTTTTGCAAGGTGCATAAGTTACTGACTGAATAAAGATATAGTTTTCTTTATTTGTATGCATGCCATACATGCATTCTTTCACATATATTGCATGACAGCATTGGCAAGCTCTTCGGTTCTTTGTACAATGGAGCAGTAAAAATGATGAATAAATCAAATAATCCACCATAATCTTTGCTTTATTCTAAGGAGATACAAACTAATGAGCTTTGAAAGCTTTCAGAATGGCTTTTCTGTTTAGTTATTTAATAAATGTGTTAATAATTGAGCACCTGAGCCACCGCATAGATTTGTTGACAGACTAAAAACCACTAGAAACACCACAAATCTTCATCAGCTTCATCAAATTTTATGGAAATAACTCAAGTGAAAAATTTCACCTTCAGAAATAAAAAAAATTAAAGATCAAAAATAATAATTTTGAATGACTAGATTTTAATAATTAGTTTATATCCCATTCTGGTTATTTTAATGCATTTATTGTTATTTATTATATAACAGTTCATCTTTCTGTTTAAGGTTGTTCTAGGGACTGGTGGTATGAATCAGCCGTTGGCTATAAACACTGCAATACAGGCATCAGATTGTTTCTTGTCATAATAATGTATCTGTCCCTATTAAATAAGCCATAAAAAACAAAACAAACAAGAAAGTAAATGACAACCATTTTCAGAACATCCCAAAGCGAGAAGCATCACAAAAGGGAGGAGCAAGGGACCCGTGATGATAAGCCTCAAAGATTTATTTTCCCCCTGCATTATTCAGCAGTGCTGGGAAGGCAGCCTGTGTGAATGTCCGCGAGCAAAGGTTGACTATCTTTAAAGTTTTAACCTAATGTCAGTGTGGTTGACTTCTTAGAAATCCAGCAACCAAAGAAGACGGTACTGAAACAAAACTCTAAATTGGCTAATTTTGCTGGAAAAAAAAAAAAATTACAATAAATAAAACATACTAACTTAAAAACATTTAATAAAATAAAATCATTTTATTTAAAGGTATAGAGGAGGATCTTTTATTTCCAGGTGGATCATCTAAATAAAGGGTCCTCTTAATTGTCAATCATTCTCATGACATGGTTACTTAAGGCCGTCCTACATGCTCATCCATTTATCTTTTATTTATCTTTTTTCTGCACATGCGCACTTTCAGGTGTATATCTGTGGGGAGCTACGGTTTCAGACAGTCATTGAAGCTCACCTTTCTCAACGCGGTTCTTTGAAAATGGCCGAGGGTCGTAAGAGAAAAAGTGTCCACGAAGTGTATGAGAAGAAAAGAAAGGCCTCAGAAAAGAAAGATATATCCCAGAATGCTTTGCACAGGGAGTTCTCCTGGAGGTTATGTACAAAGTTGTGCATGTGCATTTGTTTTTAAAGTAGATAGGGAGGGTCTTTTCAAAAATTCACCCAAATCTTCCACTATACCCTTAAGAAGTAGTAAGAATAAAGATTGTTTCTAAGGCTATATAAGGCCCTAAATTTAAAAAAACTATTGTTTTTATGGCATTTCCCAATCTAGAAGAAATCCTTACAAACGAATCAACGTTTAAAATATCAAATTCAATCTTTGTTGAACAAAAATCAAGTACCGTATAAGAAATCAAAATTACACAAAACTTCACTTGTATTTCTTACAGACAATAAGGTCTCTCAGTGGAATACTGGAGATGCCGAAAAGACGAGACATAATTGTCATTGTATTGATTGTGTTGCCTTGGGCGCTGCTCATCTTCTTTTGGCATCAAACCCAAATCACCCTTGGTCCAG